GAACTGATTCAAGCTAATATCTTCACATTGATTACTTTATTAGTCTGGCAAGGAATTTTTGAGCAAAACATTTTAAAATTTGACCCTGTCTTCTTTAACTGTACATGGCCCAGCTCAACGGCTCTGTGAGAAGAGAGTATACAGCCTAGTGCCTAAAAAATCCTAGGCATTTGGTAAATGCTAGTCACCTACGTCTCTAGTAGACTGCAGACAGGATATATGGCTGCCTAACGGCATTCATATTGTTTTTAAGCATTCATACGGTAGAAGTGACAAATTAGGGTAAATCTCCCTGTTATTTGACAACTAAAAAAAAAATCTTCTTGAAAGATTTTATTTCCATTAAAAGGAAACGCAGCAGAAGCTCCATTTGTCCAACTGGCAAGAAATTATCAGCTAATAATCAGAGAAACACAAGATGATCACTTTACTTATATGTCCCAACTCTCTTATTAATTTAAGGGCTGTGAACAAGGGCTGCTACCTAAAATGCTTAGATCCAATTTCTCTGGCCAAACTGAGATTATTTGATCAACAAAATGAATAATGATTAAAACAAAATGCATGAGTCTGGGCTAAAATAAGTAGACAGATAAGGTAGGGCAGGGAGAGAGAAAAACTTTTTTTTTAAACAACAGATTGTGTAATAGCTGTAGAAAGAATCAAAGAAATAGAAAATCATTATTGTATAACCACTATAGTAATAATTCAGGCAAGAATCATCAATGGAGTCTAATATCATTAGGTAAAAAGCTACTAGAGAACCAGATATTTACTCAATCTCCAAGTATCACCTCAGATTATATATTAATTACAAAAGAGAAAGGGCACCTTTATAAGAAAAATTTGGCAGGCACTGCCTTAACCAAATGGTCAAACTTAACATCACCCATGACGGGTCAAGCTGACATCATGTGCACCCTCTGTTGTGATACACCAAGAAGGATACATCATTTATTTTGTATTCTTGCTCAGATATTTAATCTGAATGAAGAAACAACCAGACAAATCCAAATTAATGAACATCTTGCAAAAACCCCAAAAAACAAAAAACTTGTCTTGACTCTTCAAACTAAGGAAGGTCATGGGTGGGTTTTCCAGCTGGCAGCACGAACTAGACCCCCAGCCACGAGCAAGCATTAACCACCAGACATGTAAGCAAATAAGCCTGCAAATTCCAGTCAAGTCTTCAGCTTTAAGTCTTCTAGCTGTGGTCCCAGACATCATACAGCAAAGACAAACTATTTCCCCATACCCTATCCAAACTGCTGACCCAAAGAAACTGTGAGAGAGAATACATGATTATTACTGTTTTAAGTCACCAAGTTTTAGAGTAATTTGTTATGCAATAATAGATAACTAACAGAGGCTCTACTAAGGCAGAATCTCAATTTTCCTCAATAATACCTACCTCATAGGGTTACTGGGAACATTAAATGGGCTAATGAATGTCAAGCCTGGCACAGTATGTATTCTTCATGAATGCTACCTAGTATTATAATAACTTCAATTTGTGTAGTTAGAAGTATGAATAGAAGAATGCATAAGGAGCTTTGGGGAAGCACAAAAGAAGAGCGTTTGATACAGTCCTGGGGGTCATGGGAGGCTTCCTAAATTCAGTGAAGGACTGATTAATTGGGTTAAAAAAGCAGTAGAGGTACTTCTGCCAGAGAAAACAGATTAAGAACACATATAGAAGCATGAAACAGTATGGAATATGTAGAAAACTACAAGTTTCGTATTGGTAGAATAAAAAAAAGCAAGAAGTGACCAGAAACAAGGCTACAGAAGTCGGGAGAGTTCAAAACCTCTATAAAGAGGGCCTTGTATATGAAGTTATAGACCCCATGACAACGGATTTTAAGGCAGGAAGTGATACAGATCTGAAAATTGAGGCACATAATCCTGCAAGGGTAATACGGGAGTAAATTTAAGAATGATAAAGCTTTTAAGGAGGCTAATGCAATAGTGCAGGCAAACAAGAAAAGATGTAGATATGAACTAGGGGGAAAATGGCTGGACAAAAAGGGAGTTGAGAAATAGGAAAAAAAAAACAGAAAGACTTAATGTTTGATTGGATGTGTATATGAGCTGGATGAGACAAAGAAAAGATTCTAGATTAATGCCTAGGTAGAGAGTGGTACTTCCAATCAAAATCAGAAATAAAGAAAAAGGATCAGGTCTGGAAGAAAAGAGTTTGGTTTCCATTTTTGTGAGTTTGTAGTACCTATGGAACATCCAAATAGAAATATCTAACAAGAGGTTATACATTCAAATCTTAAATTAGGGAGAAAGGTCAAAAAGAAATATAGATTTGGGAGTGTTTGTATACAGGTAATTATTAGAACTGTGAGAGAACCTAATAATGGCCAGAAAACGCTTACAGAGCAGTATTCTCAACCAGAGACAATTTTGCTCCCCCAGGGGAACATCTGGCAATATCTGGAGACATTTTTGGTTGTCATAACTTTGGGGGAGGGGGGGGTTGGTTACTGCATGTAGTAGGTAGAGGCGAGGGATGCTGCTAAACATTCTACAACATACAGGAGAGCCCTACAGAACAAAATTATCCAGCCAAAATGTCAATAGTCCCAAAGTTAAGAAACCTTGTTGAAGGGTAAGAAGAAAACCAAAATGAAGGAAACACCTTAGGAAAACAAATATATAGAAATACTATCCACAAGAAGGAGAAGTCAGAAAATAGGTAAGTCAAGAAAATATACTATCATGGAAGTCACAGAAGTAGAGAATTTCTAGAGGGAAGAAAAAGACCAAAAATGTTGAATTCAGTGAATTGGACCCATACGATAAAAATTTTAAAGTATCCACTGGGTATGTCACCAGAATAGAAGGTCACCAGGGATTTTAGCGAAAAAAGGGCCAGACTATAGTAGCAGAAGCATAATAAGAGATGAGAAAGTACACAAAATAAACATAGGCTCCCCTTAAGAAATCTTATTCAAAGGGGAAGGAAATAAGATTAGGCAGTAACTAAAGCAGTGGTTCTCAACGCTGGCTACAATCAGAATAACCGAAGGAGCTTTTAAAAATTACAAATGCTTGGACCTCACCCAGAATAATTAAATCAGAATCCCTGGGGGTAGGGCCCAGGTATCTGTATTCTAAAAAATATCCTCAGTGACACTAATGTATAGCCAAAATTGAAAACCACAGAGCTAAAGGAGGAGGGAGGGGTATAAGGGAATGGGGCAGGGAGCAGTAAAGGGGGAAAAGAGAACAGGGAGAAGAAAATGAATGAAACAAAATCCCAAAAGAAATAGGTACATGGGCTGATGGAGTTGCTTTGAAAAAAAGAAAGGATACCTCATCTCAGGAGACTGGAAGGAAAAATAAGTACTGATGTCAAAGAAATTGGGCACAGGGATTTGGGGAGTTCATGCCTAAAGTCCTAATTTTTATAATGAAGAATACAAATAAGCTGCTGAGAATCACCTACTAGATAGGAAATTCAGAGACTGAAATGTAGTGATCGTTCAAAATATTTGCAGAGGGAAATGCAAATTAAAAGCATTGACAGTTTAATGGAGATTAAATGCCCTTTACCAGCTGCAGGGGCACCAGTGGGCACATTTATATGATTTTCCTCCAGCAGTACTTATCCATCGCCAAGTAAAGGAGCATGGAAAAGTGGACCACAGCACTGACTGGCAGTTTAGCGGGTGGGAGAAAAAGCACAGGATGTAAAAGTTTAGATGAACTGTAGTTGAGGAGTTCAACAACAGGGTCCAAGCCAGGTAGTAAAGGGAAAGTAATATAGATACAGTTTAACTGGCACAGGAAATGATGGATTTACCTCTGAGCACCATAAGTTATTAAAAGTCTAAGATATCATTGGCTTTTGTCCTAGACAATCCCATTAAATCAGACTTCCCATAGTCTATAATTGTCCTAAGAAAGACTGTCTGCAACTAACTTTGAAATTTACAAAATATAAGACGAACTAATGGACAAATCAATGGATAGATATGTGATAATGTAAGTATAGTAAAATATTAATAGTAAAATCTAGGTGTGTGGAGGGGAGGGGAGTGTAGACTCTAGAACAGCAGTGTCCAATAGGACTTTCTGAGATGATGGAAATGTTTATAACCTGTGCTGTGAAATATGGTGTCTACTCGATATCTGTGGCTACTGAGCACTTGAAAAGTGGCGAGTGTGACTGAGGAATTTTGAGTCTTTTTAACTTTTAATTAATTTAAACTGATATAACCACATGTGGCTAGCAGCTGCTATCTCAGTGCAGCACAAGATGCATATATCCCTGGGTTCAAGTCCTAGATTCACGATTGATCCAAGTTACCTTACTTCTCTGAGTCTTAGTTTATTCTTATATAAAATGAGAATAGCAACAATACCTACCATTTTATATGGATTAAATGAGATAAGCAGAAAAAGCATGAAGCACGATCCTACGCATACAGCAAACACTTTAGAAAAATTAGTGTTTATTATTCCTGCTAAATGGGATCCATGAGATCAAGTACCACCACCTGTTTTGCTCACCATTATATCCCCAGTATCCAGTACAAGTGTCCCAGCATAAAAGACACTCAATAAATATTTGTTGCATGAATGTTTTGCAGAAGACTATATCATTATTAAATTTCATATTAAGTCCACTGCTCTAATCTATTGAGGTCTTTTTGAATCCTAATGTCATCCAATATATCTGCTATCCCTTTCAGTATCTTCTGAAGTTTTGACAAACATATCACTGATATATTAATCTGAAATATTAATAAAAATATTAACCAGAGACCTCTATCATTAGTTTTATCATCCGTCAGTTTATCATCATCAGTAAATTATACTAGTTGGGTATAGACACTCAATTTAGCTTCATTTTCATTCTGTATATATATCCCCATCTTGTCCACAAAGGTAATAAGTATGAAAACCTTATAAAGATTAGATTATGTCAATATGTCCTTCATTGAAACTATCCTTTAAAAGAACTTAAATAACAACTTTGCACTCACCTTTCAAAAGCAGGGGATCTATCAGGACGAGTACTTCCTCGAGATCTGTATCTTTGAGTCACTGACAGCCGTGGCGGCCGACTTGGTCCCCAGAAGTCAGTGTGAGTTTGGTGACCCCTCTCATTGGCTCTATTATCTTGGTCCAGTAGACTGCTACTTAGAAAGGGTCTAAAATCTTGGAAAAACATCGTGGGGTCCAAATGGTCCCAGAACTAGTAAAAACCAGAAATAAAGCACATGTTACTGGTTTTAAGAAAAGGAGAAAGAGGAAACAGGAAGAAGAAATGCTGAAAAAAGAGAGGATTCACTTTTAACACTTCAAAATTCAGCAGTTCCGAATTAAAGAAATGTATACTTCTCCAATTTCATGGAGGAGAAAAGAGAAGTCTTTCAAGTATATGCACAGGGGGAAAAATTTATATACCAAGAAACTATTTCCTTCATATAGAAACAAGCCAGGACTTCCCTGGTGGCGCAGTGGTTAAGAATCCGCCTGCAAACGCAGGGGACACGGGTTCGAGCCCTGCTCCGGGAAGATCCCACATGCCAGGGAGCAACTAAGCCCAGGAGCCACAACTACTGAGCCTGCATGCTGCAACTACTGAAGCCCGTGTGCCTAGAGCCCGTGCTGTGCAACAAGAGAAGCCACCGCAATGAGAAGCCCGCGCACTGCAACGAAGAGTATCTGCCGCTCACCGCAACTAGATAAAGCCCACAACGCAGCAATGAAGACCCAATGCTGCCAAAACTAAATTAATTAATTTAAAAACAAAAAAAGAAACAAGCCAATGTCTGGACCTTAACACTGAGCTCAGATCCACGTGCCTCTGACCAGTTTCCCATACTAAAAATAAAAACTTGAGCCAAAGGTGATCATGAACTTCTGTCCTAAGCATAGTCAACCATCTAGATCAACATTACAACCTTGTGTTTTGTAACAATGACATCCACATTTCCACCATAGAATAAAGATTAAACAAAATGGATGTATTTATACACTTGTACAAAAAAGGCAGCATCACCACAAAGTGAAGACAGGTGTCTATAAAATACTTAACTTATAGAAGGTTCACCAGAAAGCTGTGGCAAAGCTGTGACAAAGCAGTGTAAGAATGCCTGATAAGACCATTCTACTGTACACGCTTTTTACTAAAAGGGTCTTGGTGGGGGGAGTGTTTGTTGGGTTTGGCCAAGGAATCACTAAACAAAGAGTAAATGGAAAAAAAACAAATTACCTCTGAAATAATTTAAATTTTATTTATCTGTTTATCCATCCACCTGTTGACAGGCATTTGGGTTGTTTCTAATTTTTTATTATTACAAATAGTTGCTATGAACAATTATGTACATATCTTAGAGGAGTAGAATGGCTGAATCATATGGCTGATGTACTTTTATCTTTTTTAAAAAACAGCTAGCCTGTTTTCTAAAGTGGTTGTACCATTTTTACATTCAATTTCAGTTGCTCCATAGCCTCACCAAAAGTTAATATTGTCAGTCTTAAATTTTAACCATGCTGTAAGTGGTATAGTGGTATTTCATTTTGGTGGTTTTTATTTTTTGGCCATGCCACGCGGCATGTGGGATATTAGTTCCCCAACCAGGGACTGAACCCATGCCCTCTGCAGTGGAAGCAGAGTCCTAACCACTGGACCACCAAAGAATTCCCTCACTGTGGTTTTAATTTGCAGTTCCCTAATGACTAATGATGTTGAGCATTTTTTTTTTTTGCCATCTATATATCTTCTTTGGTGAAGTAGATTGTTCAAATCTTTTGCCGTTTTCTGAAACTGGGTTGTTTTCTCATTATTCCATTTTAAAAGGTCTCTACATAGCCTGGATACAAGTTTTTTTTTTTTTAAATAAATTTATTTATTTATTCATTTTATTTTTGGCTGCATTGGGTCTCTAGAAAATAAATTTATTTGTTCAATAAATTAAGGAAAATTAGAATAGTTTTTTAAAAAGAATAAGAAGGACTAGAATGACTACCAGGAGCAGTGGATATTGAAAGAAAAATAAAAACAGTGCTCATCCTCAAATCAGCTCAGGGATGCCTGGAATATAAGGTTCAAAAATAAAAGGAAATTATGAGGTTTATAATATGCTGGCTGGGAAAGAAAGGACTCTCAAAACAAATCTCAAGACTATGAGTGAGGGGTTTCCCTGGTGGCATGGTGGTTGAGAATCCGCCTGCCAATGCAGGGGACCCGGGTTCAAGACCTGGTCCAGGAAGATCCCTCAGGCTGCAAAGCAACTAAGCCCATGTGCCACAACTACTGAGCCTACGCACTAGAGCCCGCGAGCCACAACTACTGAGCCCATGTGCCACAACTACTGAAGCCCGCACACACCTAGAGCCCATGCTCCGCAACAAGAGAAGCCACAACACTGAGAAGCCCGCGCACTGCCACCAAGAGTAGCCTCCGCTCGCAGCCACTAGAGAAAGCCCACGCACAGCAACGACGACCCAGCGCAGCCAAAAGTAAATTAAATAAATAAATTTTTTTACAAAAGACTATGGGTGACTATGGCAAATTCCTAAATTTTATAAAAATAGAGTATTAAAATATCATTCACAAAGAAAAAAATACGATGTCCAATGCCCACCCACCCCCCAAAATGTAAACACTCTGCCATAAACAATCTCTTGAAAGGCACCTTTTCCCAAATGAGTTTAAATTTAGAGGCTATGGACTCTGGTCAACTGGCAGTCACTGAACAAAAAACTGGCAAGGCTGACACCAAGACTGTTTTCTGTTTCACTCTTCTTCCTTCAGCTACCATTGAGTTTATGTTATGGTCTTTGCTTGGCAACAGTATTACTGGTGTGAACTTAGTCACGAATGACATAAACATAGTTATTCTTTAAACAACTGTTGAAGAGCTCAGGAGTTTTACTTGATATTTCCAAATGGACTGGATGTGAAGTAGGCAGCACTGTGAAATGAGCTATTTTAACCCTTCATACTAAAAAGTGAGACAGATGAAAGATTTGGTTGAGTTAATTCAACCTTTAAGATCCCATCCAGGCTGCAGCTGCTCAAAGAACCCAAACTCTACCTGGCATTTGAGTACAAGCCCTCTGGCTGAGACTGGGAAGAACAGCAAACAGGTAAAGGATGATTTACTTGGTAAAGGAAAGTTAAAGGTTTGAAATCTTTAACTTCTTTTCACTAGGTTTAATCATTTAAAATTACCATCTTTGTAGGTCAAAAACAGTAGAATATGAACACTTTTATTTATTGTAGTTCAATTTAATTTAACTTTATGTTGTTCTTGATTATTTCAGAGCTTTCTCCACAGGTCCCAGGAGCACACACAAAAGAGCATGAGCTGGTAATGGAGAGAGCCTTCATGAAGGTGGAAGTAAAACTGCCCTCAAAGCCTACTGATCTCCTCCCCTAACTACCAGAGGTACTAGTCCCAATCCCCTGCTAACTACAGACTTAAATTACTAAACCCAAAGGGGAGGAGGGAGGAATCAGAGCTTTCATGTTCACCTCTGACCTCTTCATTCATTCCTCATTACTCTTCCCTACCAGAGGAGTGATGCATCTGATTGGTGAGTGGCAAAAGGTTTTGCTAATGAGCAAAAGTTTTGCTAATTCGCATTTCTCCAATGGATGGAGTTCATTTATAAGGAGGCTGCACAAATGCAAAAGAAGTGGTTCTGAGTATTTGTGCCTGCTCAGCAGCCTCTAATTCTCAAGTGGGTCATCCTGTGCAGACTTAGGATGTCCATTTGGCCACAGATCAACTGTGCTCTCCAATTTGGCTGAATAAAAACTAAATCTTTATTTCCATCTGCCTGGCGTCTATGTTTTATTTCTCAGTATGTTCTAGACGCTCAGATGGAGGGAAGAGGTATGATCAATTATCAACCATCACATATAACCAGACAGGTTTTAACACAGGATAACAGTTTAATATAGCACAGGCATGAAATAATATGAAGTCATAAAATATATAATTCTTATAACTATGAAGAGATAAGAAAAAAGATTTATGACATAATCCTAAGTAAATTTTAAAAATCAGAAATACAATACAGTATATCCTATGATTATATCTGAAAAGTTATGAAGCATGAATGTGAGAAATGGGAAGTATTAAAAATAAACAAACAAATAAAGCAAAAATAAGGTAATGAGAATATGGAAGATTTTTCATTTTTAAAAAATCTTAATGTTGTTACAATATTTTTCAATATCTATGGCCTCAAGACAAAACCTGAAAGGAAATGTATGGCGAAAGGGGGCTCTTAAAATAGTGGGACTCCAGATGCTTTTTAATACCTTTTTTATTGCCCATTGTAATGTTGCATATGTAGCAAAACAAACTTTATTTAAATAAATATAAATCAGACTGCTCAGAGTACCCTGCCTTCTTGCACACCTGGGAGTTCTTTTTCTAGAAAGCCATCTATCTTATTTTCTGCTAATCTGAGGCAGCAGCTACAGCCGCTCTTGCACTGAAGTGATAAAACTGAGGTAAGTTGAGACCTTCCGATCAGATGTCTCACTGGCACCAGGTCATGGTCAGAAGCTTTCAAGTAGTCAATGAAACCCCTCAGATAGCCATGGGCTCCATTCCCCAGGTTATCAACAGGAACCTCAGTATAGCTATGTCCTCTCTATATACAAACTGCTAGCAACATTTCTAGATTCACTCTCCACTGACCCTCACACATCACTCATAGTTCCCATTTAACTAGCAACACTCCTCCATCCTCATACACCCTCCCTATCTCCCCCACCCCAGACCCAATTCAGAAAAAACAATCAATACCAATTATATTAGAAATTTTGCTTGGACTAAGCCTCTTCTGATATATCTAGTATTTTAAGAATTCAGCTATTAGTAAATGCTAATTAAGAAAATAACCTCTTCATTGTACAAGCAACTCTGGCTGAAGAAAAACAGAGCAAAATTGAGCATAAGCCTTCGCTGAAATTACCAACTGAAATATAGAAAAGAAAAACAGCTTTCGTTTCCACACATAATTTTCTTTTTATTGATTGATTGATTGACTGATTTTTGGCTGCACTGGGTCTTCATCGCTGCGCATGGACTTTTTCTAGTTGCGGTGAGTGGGGACTACTCTTCGTTGCGGTGCGCGGGCTTCTTATTGCGGTGGCTTCTCTTGTTACAGAGCACGGGCTATAGGCGCACGGGCTTCAGTAGTTCTTGCACACGGACTCAGTAGTTGTGGCTCACGGGCTCTAGAGCGCAGGCTCGGTAGTTGTAGCGCACGGGCTTAGTTGCTCTGCAGCATGTGGGATCTTCCTGGACCAGGGCTCGAACCCATGTCCCCTGCATTGGCAGGCGGATTCTTAACCACTGTGCCACCAGGGAAGTCCTCTCCACACATAATTTTCTAAGTTCTTCCTCCAGGGACATGGGTATAAGACCTTATGGTCTATGAATACTATCTTGAGATAGCGTTTCTCACCTCTTTGCTTATCTAAATTCCACATACCCTTTAAGGCTCTAGTACTTGAAGCCTTGTTTTACCTTCTCCATGAAGGAGTTTTACCTTCTCCATGAAGTCTTAATAATGGCTAAAATTTATTAAGCGCTCACTATATGGCAGGCACACTGGCCCACACACCTGGCATGTATCAACTCACCTAATCCTCATGACAACCCACTGAGGTAGGTATTATTATCTTCCCCAACTTATAAAGGAGAACACAGAGGCACAGAGAAATTCTAAGTAATTTTGCCCAGGTTACCTAGTCAGTAAGCAGTAGACCCAGGGTTTCAACTCAGGCAGCCTGGATCCGTGCATATCACTATGTCATTTGACCTCTTTCCTAAAGATTTTAGTCTTCCCAAAGACTGCAGCCCACCTAATCTCCCTTCTACTGTACTTGTTACATCCCCATAATAAGTTTATTATACTCTCTGTACACACTTGTTTTCATATCTGTTTCATGTTTGCACTTGTTCCCAAAATAAATTATAAGTTCCTTGCTGGCAAGGCAACCATAACATTTGCTTCTTGCCCCTACTTCTAGCAGAGTGCTGGAAGTGCACTAAACATATACTTCTTAGATGATTTTTTTAAATCCCTTACAACTTCTACAGTATTAAAAGAAAATACTTTTTTTTTCTATTTTTTAAGTGCAAAATATCGTTTAAGAAGGAGAAAACTGAAATATTCAGGCATGATGACAAGGGAAAACTGGGCATAATCATGCCCTTGCTACAAACCCTTAAGAACATGAAGTCACAGGCTATGACTAAGCAAAATTACTTCAACACCTGAAGGATAACTTATGCAGTCAGTGTCAGATTTAGCATTACTAAAGTTAGGAAACTGACTATATATATTTATTTTTCTTCTGAATGCATCTCCTCCTGGTGAGTCATATCTATAAAACTGACAGACCAATGTATTTCCATCTCCTAAAAGAGAACTAACACTTAAGGAAAATCAGATGAAGTCTCTTCTGATGCATATGCATAACCAGTAAGTGAAAATCTGTGTAATCAGGAATAGCATACACAAGGAAAAAAATTACTAAAACCGGAAAGGCTTCCAGGCCTGGCTAGCAGAATCAATTTTAAGTAATATTTTTCCATCCACCAAAATGAGAAAGTGGGAGTTCAAAGACATAATCTGTCTTGAATCACACTAATCAACCCATGTACCAAGGCAGTTCAGAGTTAAGCAAAAAGCTGAATGCTGGATATTAAGAAGTACCACAGGGGCTTCCCTGGTGGCGCGGTGGTTGAGAGTCCGCCTGCCGATGCAGGGGACTCGGGTTCGTGCCCCAGTCTGGGAAGATCCCACATGCCGCGGAGCAGCTGGGCCCGTGAGCCATGGCCGCTGAGCCTGCGCGTCCAAAGCCTGTGCTCTGCAACAGGACAGGCCACAACAGGGAGAGGCCCGCGTATCACAAAAAAAAAAAAAAAGAAGTACCACAGACCATAAGTAAAAGAAAATACCTTAATAAAACAGGACTGTTACCCAAACATTTCATTAAGTTTCTTGACTATAAATCTAACAACGGAAAAATCTGGGGAGCTGGGAATTCCCTGGTGGTCCAGTGGTTAGGACTTGGCGCTTTCACTGCCAGGGCCCAGGTTCAATCCCTGGTTGAGGAACTAAGATCCAGCAAGCTGAGCAGCAAGTCCAAAAAAATTTTTTTAAAAACCTGGGAGCTACAGGTCTTAAGATAATTTTCAGAGGATAAAGGAGAGAAGCTTAGGGTTTTATGGGTTTCTTACTGAATACCAGTTTTCAAATACACTGCAAATACAGTTTTAATTTATACACAAATAACTACCAAAAAGTTTTGCTAGTTCTTCAGGTACTTAAACTATCTCCAAAAAAGGCTAATGTGATCCTGAAACACAAAGAAATTCTAATTATGGGATTTAAGGTGCTTTTTTTCTTTTAGCATGTTAGCTTTCTAGAGCTAACCAAGCTGTGCGGCAATAGGAGCAAAAGCAAACCAGTATTTTTTGTAGGCAGAGCTGGTCTGTCCCTTGTGAGGTAACAGTCTCTAAATGCTAATAAACAAAGAGTACTTAATGCCACTTAAAATTGTACACTTAAATTGTACACTTAAAAATGGTTATAATGGTCCAAAACAACCAGATTTTAAGTCAATGGATTAAATGAAAAAGAAAATTACTGCGTTTAATTTAAAATGGTATTCAAGGATACAGATTAATGTCTTATTTTCAAATCCTAGTTAAGATTATTTTTCCCAAAAAATACGGATGCCGCATTATATAAAGAACTGGAAATTAATTGTAGGTCCCATCTTGAGACCTGGAAGGCAAGCAAATATCTTATCCTTAATCTAGCCCTGAAATTCCAATTACAAACTACCACATTCATTAAAGGTAATCTCTAGAAACCAGTACCTCTGTGTAAAATCATAGACTGTGCCTCATTGTGACTTCAATTACAACTCATCCTGGCCTGTTCTTTACTTGACTGTCAGAGCATTAAGAGTCTGCAACACTGTTATTTAAAAAACAATACAAGCTTTTTATTCTCACACCATATACACAATATAGAAGCAGAAAACAGAACTGAAAACACCACCAGGTTTCAAATATAGCACAGCTCTCTCCTAATCAAAGGTTTACTAAAAGTAACATGCCAAAGCCCCAACTATTGAACACAAATCTTTCTAAGACTACTCTTGCCCATATTTTTCTTATACATTCTGATGTTTTGCTGCACTGGGAAGTGAAAATCTGTCATGGTTTTAACACCCACCCACTATCTAAAGAATCCATACAGCCAACGGAAAACTTACCTCTGCAAAATGTGTTGATGTGCTGCTGCCACCACCTAAAAAACTGAAGAGAAAAAGCGATGAGTAGTGATTCTATTCCCAGGAACAAGCTTCCCTCCTGGAAGCTAAATATAGAATGGTACAATGAGAGCAAATCCCAATAAGGAAAAATAACTCATCCCAACATGACACCCTCAAAGGAAATTATGAAGAACTGGCATGTGGATTAATCTATGAAAAATATTATAACAAACTACAAAATCAAGGGTAAGCCAAATGAAAAATTGGGGAGAGGGCTTCCCTGGTGGTGCAGTGGTTAAAAATCTGCCTGCCAATGCAGGGGACACAGGTTCGAGCCCTGGTCCAGGAAGATCCCACATGCCGCAGAGCAACTAAGCCCGTGCGCCACAACTACTGAGCCAGCACTCTAGAGCCCGCGAGCCACAACTACTGAAGCCTGCGCGCCTAGAGCCTATGCTCCGCAACAAGAGAAGACACTGCAATGAGAAGCCCGCACACCACAACGAAGAGTAGCCGCCGCTCGCTGCAACTACAGAAAGCCCGCACACAGCAACGAAGACCCAACCAGCCAAAAATCAATAAATAAGATAAATAAATTTTTAAAAAATTGGGGAGAGAGACTATCACAGAGAAGGAAGAAGGATCCACAGCCAGCAATGCAGCTCAAATCTGAGCAAAGGAAGAAAAACATCTATTCTCAGAAGCTAAGAAATAAAACAAGATTCTCAAAATAATATTTCATTAAAAAAGCATTTAACCGATGAAAACAACATTTGAAACTATTGGGAATGATTAAATGTAGTAATGCAAGGGGTCTGGTACTATATTTAGCACCTTACAAAAGGGCTCAATAAATATTTTTTCTTCTTCTGATAGCTTATCCTATTCTATGATTATCCTACCCACCCTTCAGGGCCCATCCTCCATTAAGTCTTTTCTAAACTCACCAACCAAACAAGACTCCTCCACACCCCTCTGCACTGACTTTGATTCTAAATTCAACCTTGTATTATAAATATCTAGGGCTTCCCTGGTGGCGCAGTGGTTGAGAGTCCGCCTGCTGATGCAGGGGACACGGATTCGTGGCCCGGTCCGGGAAGATCCCACATGTCGCAGAGCGGCTGGGCCCGTGAGCCATGGCCGCTGAGCCTGCGCGTCCGGAGCCTGTGCTCCACAACGGGAGAGGCCACAGCAGTGAGAGGCCCACATACCGCAAAAAAAAATAAAAAATAAAATATCTAGAATTTTCCTCATCCATTTCTACTTGTTCCCCTCCTTTCGTAAACATAAATTCAGAGGGTAAAGACTGTATTTTATTAATACCACAAATATATGTGTTTATTATGTATCAGCCATTATACAGAGCACTCACCACTTGTGAAAACCCTGCTTTACCATATCCTATATTGATAACTGGAAAGTAAAAGTTGTTGAATTAATATCACATGTATAAACCTATTCCCAAAGACTGGGGAAAAATATTTGATCCCACTGTCCCCATGAAATCTGCAAAGAAGAGAGGAAACTGGCTAGCACACTTTGGCGGAAACGGGATGGAAAGTATCACAAGAACTGCTGGATATCACTTTTACTTCAAGAGACACACACATGTGGACCAAAGTACACACACTAGCACACAAGCATGCACACACTCACCCCAATGAAATAAAGTCCACAAACTATTATAAATAACTTTCATTTTAAGAATTACAATACCAATCCAGGCACTGCACTCAGCTCATTGAAGAAACAAACACACTCCAGTTAGTCTGCAACCAAAAGTGAAACAACGAGGCTAACGCCATTCTCTATGTCATCATTCTCAGGCCTTATTCTCTAATTAGAAACCATTTAACAACTGTATTTGCTTCAGAAGTTAAAACATCTTTTGTAAAAAACACTTCAAATGTAGAACAAGCCCAAAAGTACCAGTACATCTATGCTAAATAAATAATTGAACTACCACTATGTATCCATTTTATTACTCAAGCCTAGATAGGCTTCCAGGGCTCTTTCCTGACTTTACCATATAGTTGCAAGAATTCAAACATCTTTGGTAATTAAAGCTATCAACTCTATCTTTTGGGCTTCTTCTCCCCCTGAAACTCCCTCAGCATTCCCTTTCCTTAAAATTCCTTTCCATTTTAAGAATGATAAGGCTAATCATAGAGAAGGGATAATAACAACCACAACATTCTGAGAAATGTTACAAAGCTTAAGAAAACTTACAAGATGCCCCTCTAGCTGAAATGTCTAATAGCAAATGGAACCCATTATCCAATATTTACATAAGGACTCGCTCTCATTAATTTTTACCATCCACTACTTACTACTGTAATTGCTAAGTATTCAAATAAGCACATGTTTATGAACTTTATAGAAGGGAATACCATGCTACCTCTAAGACTGATTCCAAGACAAAGATTTCTTCAACTATTTAAAACACTGATATTTCAAAAGACATAATCTTTGCATTTGAGTATCTGGTACCAATAGCACCTGTACAGGACAACCTTTGACTTACAAAGGCACAAAGAAAAGAATTAAGTCAAATGAGAGCAGGATCCATAGAATTCATAGTTCCCCGCTAGAAAAGATTCATCCTGCAGTTACTCACAAACCTCATTTATAACCATACTTTGTATACAGGGCTAAAGAAAGCAGGATTAGTATTTAAAAACTTTGAAAAAATCGCCCCCCAACAACCAATATGCTCTTCATTCAATGCATGCAGAGCATACCTGCTTGAAGTAAGTATTAGATGCAATTATAATAGCACAAATAAAAAGATATCCCAAGTTAGCATGCCATCCACACAAAATTGCTAATTTTGCTATCAAGCTAATCTTTATAGATTTAGAATTGGTATTGTGTTATTTAAAACCAAGATTATTATATCAACACTTAAGTGTTTGTACCAAACTAGATCCCATGCCATACATTGCCTTAGAAGCTCCAGTTCATTTATACATATATAATCACTGATCATTAATAAAGTTAAACTAATTGTACATACTGTAAAATGTGTAGTTTTTCCTGGTTGTGGAAGGGACCTTCAACTTTATATTCTGCCAACAGCAACAGTAAAGGAATTATTTACTGCCATTATTTTTTACTGCCCCAAAGTCATCCCAAGATTAAAAGAAGCTTCAGATTACAGATTCTTTTTACCCAGTCAGTATTTCTTCAGTTGTCCAACCAATGTTTAACCAGATAGCCAAAAAAGAACAAATGCATTATTACATTTACCCCAAAAAGGCCCTCCTATCAACACTATTCTACTTTTTGTTAAGCTTTCATAGTTTTAATCATATTGACCAAGAAGGAATACTTAACACTGTCACTTTCAGAAATAATGTCCCCTTTTTATACGTTTTATACCATTAGTAAAAGCAACAAGAGCCAATATCAAGCATTACCAACAAACTGATATTACAGTGGCAAGATGGCATAAGTTTGACCGCAATAATCTTAATAAGGACAAGGGACCCAAGGCTTCCGCAAGAATAACAACTCAGTTTCCCTGGCTAGAACAGCCTGTTTATCTTACTAGATATCTTTGTCAGAAGTCACTCACCAGCCCACCAAAGAGGTATAACAGAAATTTACCTTCAGGCCACAGAGTGGTCACTAAAAACCAACCAATAATCCAAGAGATCCCCAAACTCTTAGAAAATATATGAAAACTTACCAGATTTACTATGATATGGATACAGAGGTTTCCAAGGAATGCCACAGTAGATCTCATCACACCCACTATCACATCATTTTCCAAATTTTCCCATTTTTCTTCCCCTTCGCTCTGCCACTTCTCTTCTCTCTCTCTCAATAGAGTATGTTATAAAACAAATTCCCTTCTATTCATTAAGTTGATGCTGAGAAAAATAATTCTGATAACAGAATGCCTGATTTATTCATGAGCTTGTACAATACCTGGAATCATCTGTCATTTCTTCAATAAAGCCTGATTCACATCTGGGACAAATATATTCCTATAAAAGAAAGGAAGACAAATAAAAGTCGTTCATCAGAAAGCTAAGCATATAGTTTCAGAATAATATGCAGTACACAAGCTGATGCTGTGAAATGTTGTATGTACTTGCTGACGCCCAGGACAGTTTTTTCTGTTATACTCTGGCAAATAAAGAATTCCATGAGATGTCTACAGGATGGCTTCACAAGCAGTTCCCACTGAGAACTAAAAGAAGAATGTCAAAGTTTTTTATTTTTTTTTAAACTGGAATGAATTCATTATCTAATTTTCTATTCAAATCTACTGAAAAAGTTCCACTACATATATCAGAGCAGTAGAAGATTATAATATTCATGGGTACAGAAATTGCTGTATTTTTTTTACTATGTACATACAGGAGACATAAACTGAATCACAGAATAAATCAATTTGTAGACTAGGAATTTACAGTGATGTTTTACAATATTTCTGATCTGCTTTTTGATTATCAGTGGTTCCAAATAAAACAATGTTCTCAGGTATTCTATAGAAATGATCATTTAAATAACCAGAACAATCCCATTAGATCAGCTTCTATTTCCTTAACTACCATGAATTTTTCTTTTAAATAAGTAAATATTTCTTTTAAATATCAAGTTTTGGGGCTGATAAGAAAGAATATAATTTAGAGACTGCCTTACCATAGTCTTAAAAAAGTATATTTTAACTACCTATTAAAATAGATCTGGGAAAGACATTTTCAACTATTTTCTTGCTCTCTATATTTTCTAAACCTGAAAGTTTGTCTCATCAGAAGGAAATGTAAGCTGTATTTGCCTACTCAAACAAAGACAGTCAGAATGGTAACTCAAATATTCAAATGCTTTCTTAAAAGAGATATAAAGAAAAAAGACCAATCCCTTCTGTCAAGGAGATTAGTTTGGTGAGGAGACAGTCAATGCAAGAAACAGTAAAATTTAATAAAAGACTTTCTTTAATCAGTGCACACTGGGAATATAAACAAATACCGAAGTCTGCCTGATGGAATCAGGGAAGGCTTTATCTGAAACAGAGACTTAAAACAGTACTCTGTTTGCTCAATAAAAAAGGAAATTATGGGTTAAAAACTGTAACAACAGAATACAGCATGCATGGAGGTTGGAGGGGAATGGTATGATGAGTATGAATAGGCAGGCTGGAACCAGACTGTGGAAAACTTCACATTAGCATGAACTTTACCCTGTGGATTAGAAATCTCTCAACCTTTTCTCTCCTCTATACACATGAAACACGAGAAACACTCATAATGGGCATACTGTGAACTGCTCCAGAAATGAAATAATCTGGAGACGATATGAATCCCCCACCCTCCCAGGCAGCAGTAACTACATTCCTTTCTCTCCCACTAAGAAAGTTTATCTGAAAGGAAGTGAGATTGACTTTAGAAGGCTAACCTTAAATCTATTCTAAAGTTAAAAAGAAAAAAATACCAATTACAAAATGTGATTTGTCACCATCCCAGTGCCAGGCCCTCTTTCTTTTCTCTTCCTCTCTCACTCATTCCCATTGCTTTAAAATCCCCTGTATGAAAAAAATTAAAAATAAAAATAAATAAATAAATATCCCATATGTGAAACAACTCCCAAATGTCTCTCTCTAACCCAGGCCACTCTTCTGAATTCCAGATTCATTTATCCTCATACGTATTTTCTCTCATGCTCTTTCTCTCTTACACACACACACACACACACTCTCAAAAGGCGGCATTATCAGTTTGTTCATACCAGAAAACTGGGAGTCGTTCCTAACACCTCCCTCTCGCCTTCCACAGACAACCATCAAATCCTGGCACTCCTACCATGAACACATTTCTCAAACCTACTCCTTGCCCCACTGCCTTACTATCTTAACCCAAGGCAACACTGGCTCTAGACAATGAATAACCCTCTTAAGTGTTGTCCTGCTTCTCTTCTAGTCTTTTCCCATCTGTTCTGCATGAAGAAGTCAGAATGATATTTTTAAAACATAAAATGGACCATATATCATTTCCCATCTTAAAACCTTTCAACTATTTCCAAAAACACTTAGAATAAAATCAAACTCTTAAACATGCCTTACAAGGCCCTAATTCAGCTGGTCTCTGTTTAACTTGCCAACCTCATTTCAGGCTACCCTCCCTCAGTGAATTCCAGCTACAAGGACCTCCTTTCAGTTCTTCTAACTCATCAAGCTCATTCCTACCTCAAGCTTTCATACATTCTGCTCCTACGACTGAAACACTCTTCCCCTAACTTTTTGCATGGCAAGGGACTTCTAGTCCTTTAGGTCTCCATTTTAAGGTCATGTCAGAAAGTCCCTCTTTCATCATCCAATTTAAAGTGGTTTCCTCTTATTATTTTCTCCTATAGCACCCTGTTCATTCCTTTGTTGTAGTTTATCTTATGACAGGGCCGAAAGTAAGCTCATCACACGAGATGAATTGTGCCGAAGCACAGCAGTAGAGGGCTGCCGCTCGCTCAGGCAAAACAGCGGCGTCTGTCCTGCTGTGGTAGCTTTTATTAAAGCATTATCTATGTTTACATTTTAAGACTTATTTTCTTAACATTCCAGAAGTGCCAAAGCAGCAACATTATGCTTCTATTGATTATACAAGCAATAATGGGCTTTCCTGAAAACATGCCGTGCTTCGTCCTTGAGCGCAAAAGCAGCACAAGGTTCCCACCATTATTTTGATTACACTGAAGTAGCACAAGGACATTTCCTTGTGTTCCCACCATTCTGATTATACTGAGGACATCTCATGGATCAGTGCCCAAAGCACTCAATGCTTATTCACAGGCCCCCGGTTTGCCGGGGGTTGGGGGGGGAGGCTCAAAGCATTCAGGACTGTTTGCAGTTCTGGCTTATTCACCAGCCCCCAGTTTGCTGGGGGCGGGGCTCATGGGTCACGTCTCCTTTCCATGCCCTCAGTTATTCCACTACATTCCTTTATAGCACTTACCACAATTTGTAATTAGACATTTGTTTAATGCTTTTTTAATGTCTGTCACCATTCAATAAGTTTTAAGTTTCATAAAGGCAGGGTCCAGATCAGTTTTGTTTACCATTATATCCCTAGGACAGAAAGGTGTTCAATAAATATTTATTGAATAAACAAACATGAAATTACTTGCCACACACCTCACAACTAGGAGTCAAAGTACCAGAATCTAATACAATTAGAGGACGGTTGGAGTGGAAGTAAAGAAAAGAGCTGGAAGCTTAAGAAGTTGTGGCCTGCTCACGGGAGAGTGAAGCCTAAGATTTCAGAAGTAGCAATGTTCTGGATGATCACAAAGTCCAAGATACAGCTATGGGGGTAGCTGGCTAAAGTGCAGTAGGTATGAAGGTCTTTAGACTTAAAGGGTGGTCTACATTGATACTAAACTTCCAATAATGTTTAGAGCTGTGATAGAGAGAAAATAATTTCAAAAGGCAGATATTACAATTGGGAAGACAAAAAAGACTTGAAGCAAGAATCACACTGATTTAGAGTAGAGAAATGTACAAATCCTCTCTTCAATGATCCCAGTCATGGTTCTAGGAATCAGGCTGTCAGCCATCATAGATAGCTCCTTCACAGAACAGGACACTTCAGAGGCATAAACCAAATTACAGAAGTACTATAATTACAGGAGTACCTAGTGGCTACTTCCTGCCACTAGGTACTCCTTCCATTTACTAGCACAATCAAACCTTTCTAGGTAATTCTATTTTGATTACAGGGAAGAGAACCAAAATTCCTTCCAAATGCTCTGTGAATTATTCTTGATAAAAGTAGCTTATTATAGAACAAACCAACCTCTCAGCCATGAACTATTCCTCCTAAAATCAACATTACAGGAAATACGGAGAACTTTTCAGAATTCACAAGCCTGTCATTCTCTAATTATCAGAGTAAAAAATGCATACTTGTCTCCTACATACTTCAGTAGTCTGATCTCAGAACAAAGGTCTGGTCTGAGAAAACCATTCTCTTGGAAGCCTAAAAACCCAAAAATAACATTCTGAAGATACTATAGTTCCAGTTTCTAGATTTTCTTTTTAAAGGCCTGATAGCACTGTATTTACTACCGCCATTTTCTTCTGAAATCACACTAATTTCCCCCTGATTTCCAGCAACTGCTTCAAACTAATCTGGAGATGGGATGTTATGTAAGGGTGGAGGTGAATGAAGAATATTGGCCATGAGTGGATAATTACTGAACCTGGGTACATGTGGGCTTCTTATACTATTCTACTTTTTTTAAAAAATAAATTTATTTATTTATTTATTTTTGGCTGCGTTGGGTCTTCATTGTTGTGCACGGGCTTTCTCTAGTTTCGGGAAGCGGGGGCTACTCTTCATTGTGATGCGCAGGCTTCGCATTGTGGTGGCTTCTCTTGTTGCGGAGCCTGGGCTCTAGGTGCATGGGCTTCGGTAGTTGTGGCATGAGGGCTCAGTAGTTGTGGCTCACGGGCTCTAGAGCGCAGGCTCAGTAGTTGTGGCACATGAGCTTCATTGCTCCGTGGCATGTGGGAACTTCCCGGACCAGGGCTTGAACCCGTGTCTCCTGCACTGGCAGGCAGATTCTTAACCACTGTGCCACCAGGGAAGTCCCTCTCTCTACTTTTAATATGTTAGAAATTTTCCATGAAAAAGGTTTCTTTTGTTTTAAGTTACATCAGTCTGAGAAACACAGGTCAAGAAAGTGTTAACCAAACTATGTACTAAACTGTGTAAAGGGGCTTCCCTGGTGGCGCAGTGGTTGAGAGTCCGCCTGCCGTTGCAGGGGACACGCGTTCGTGCCCCAGTCCAGGAAGATCCCACGGGCCGCAGAGCGGCTGGGCCCGTGAGCCATGGCCGCTGAGCCTGCGCGTCCGGAGCCTGTGCTCCGCAACGGGAGAGGCCACAACGGTAAGAAGCCCGTGTACCACAAAAAAAACAAAAAAAAAAAACTGTGTAAAGTAAAAGTAGATTAGAAATAATCTATTATGTTAGAGAATTAAGGGGAAAGGGTA